TAGACCTGCTTTATTCCCTGTGGAGGAAAACAGTTAACAAGGTGTCCCCTGTTTTCAACGAGGGCAGAAAGCAAAGTGGCCCTGCTTTATAGTCACGGAACCACCTCGCCCACCAGGTCTGAGGAACAGACTGGAACTGGGCATTAGTTTTGTTTCTCCCTACTTCCACCTATCCTGAGAAGAAAGCACAAAATTAAAATTCAAGGTCAGTTCAGTAGCTGCTGCAGGTGTGCATATAAAAAGGAAAAAAAAAAAAGTACTCTTTGGAATCTAAAATCTCACTTCTGTTTCTTAACCAAGTAAAGCAAAAACAGCCATGAAAACGGTCGCATTAATCACACCTTATGCTGCAATCAAGAATGTGTCCTTTGTTGGTCTGGATTTTCAGAATCGAATGTCCAACCAAACTGCCTTGAGTGATAATGATCCCATAAAAAAAAGAAAAATCAACCACTTTCCTTTCAATGCCACCTGAGAGGTCAGACTCCCAAGAGAATCCATTTGCCAGATAAACACACTAAATTGGAAGGTGAACGCATATATCAGCCTGATGTGGAAACTACTTGTCACTTGTGAATTAGCACATTCTGCTTCGGGGTTTCCAAATGAAATTCTGAAATACACATTTTAGTGCTGAAAATTTAGGATTATAGGTCTTTCCCCATGTGATGGCTTTTCAGGGCCTTGTGAACCAGACATGGTAGGGGAGGCATTCTTAATAGCTAGGTTGGAGATTTTGTTTCAGCAGGAAAGAATCAAATCACTGGCATAAAACAGGAAAGAATTAAATTGCTGGAATAAAGCTGAATTGAGAAGATTAAAATGTGTACAATTTTTATTAGTTCAACATATATGAACTGAAACATCAAAAGCCCCTCCTAACAAGGTTTACAGTCATATATTCCATTCAGAGGATGAGGCCAAGGTGGTAGAGGATTAGGTACCACATAGCAACCACGTGCGTTCTTACCCAAGGCACCACATCCCGGTGGTGGACCAGGAGTGGTCATGAGAGGGATTCCAGGTAACGAAGCAAGCCGGAAGCTTCCCATGGGACTTACATTAAAAATAAATTTAGCTGCTTGAAAGCAACCTTTATAATGGCATCACTCTCATCTGTCTGCATGTCTATGTCTTCTTGGATGGGAGGCAGGGCTGGAGTTACAAAGAAGTATTACCTATAATTCTGGTCGTACATATGGGAGAAGGCCTCCCAAATAAGGATGCAGAAAAAATGTTGTGAGCCACTAATCCGGGAGCCGAGGAATGAACTGTCAATCCATAGCAACTTCCCTATTATGGAACAACCCTAGAAGGAAGGGAGGTGGGGGGAGTTCCTGTTCTATCCCTTCTGATGACTGTCTGCTCACTTATCCCTATAGGAGGAGTTCTTAGAAGGAAGCAAGCCACGCCGGGGACAGTTTTCAGGGGTGTTTGTGACACCATTCCATTCCGTTGCCCATCCCTCTCCACATGCTCAGATAAATAAAATAACAGATTCATCCTAGGGCAAAAATTGGTCTCCTGCTGGGTAGCAACAGATGGGCTTCTACTCCATGTAACTTTCGACCACAAGTTCAGGTCCTTTCACCTTCATCAAAAAACCAGCAAGTCACTTGAGGGAAAATCGGGCGTGTCTGAGAGCAGCAGAGACTAGACTGCAGTCTAAAGGCGAGCTAGGATTCTCACCTTTCCCTGAGCCAGGACCCAGGAGTCGAAGGAAACCCACAGTCAAAACCAAGAAGGCCCATCCCCGGCTCCCCAGCTGACGACTCCTTGTGAATTATTCACGTCAGGAGACAGCCCTCCCTGCTCCCTCCTTCAATATTGCCCAGTGACACGGACATGAAGTATGAGCCACTGGTAACAAATACACCCAAGAAATAAATTTTTAACAGCCAAGGGCAGGAGACAAAAGGAGCCCAGGCAATCTAAAGGGAAAAAAAGGGAGCCAACGGAAGAGTAAAGAACTCCTGACAGATTCTCAAATGCTTGTAAGGTAAGACTAAATAAACCCCACAGGTTATTAAGAACATTCTCCTCCCCTCAGTGCCCGAGTGGGGGCCACTCTAGAATAAGGAAGATTAGCGGGCACTCCCAAGAGACAAGGGTACTTCTGGTGCAAGCTCGAGCTGCCCAGAGCATGAGTTCTGCTGGCCCACGAGGCCCTAAATTGCTGAGGCTCCTGTGGAAGCGGCCAGGAAACAGGAATGCGGTCCTGACACGACAGTGTGCCCTAAGAGCGACATCCCGGGGAAACGATGGCACTGGACTGCACGTACCCGTGAAGGCAGTGAGTGTGACGTACGGACGTGGCTGAGACACAAAGCCTGGACGGGCCCTTCGTTGACAAGAGGAACTTCAAGCACGTCACACGTGCAGCTCTTGATGTTTTAAAGTGATGAATCGCTTTGAGAACCGACTGGCTCAATTCAGCTCACAAAACACTTCATTTTTAGGCAAGAAAGCATCTGGATGACCTTCGGCTTGAGTCCACCTTCAGCAATTTTAAAAAGGGTAAAAGGGGGTGATCCAGTGCCCCTGTAAGGCTTTTGGGGGCAGGATATACAGACTCACAAAGTCGGGTCAGTAGGGGTCCTCCTGGAGAACAGACATGGGGAGAAAGGGCCCTTCTGGGCCTCTACTTGCTGTTCTATTGAGAGGGGCCCTTGAGCACTAAAGCTTCTGTATACAGTGTCCGAAGGTCTCACCTACGAGGTTCTGGAGGAGTAAGGGAAGTGGTAATACAAGGCGGGGCGAGCGCGTGTGAAATGGGTCTCCCAACGTACCCTTTTACTAAGACACAGCGGCAGGATTTTGCCCAAACTCAGGCCTCAACTCTTATCTTTACCCACACGTGAGCCCAAAGTCTCACTTTTAAACAGTAAATCTCACTGGAAGTCGGCAGATAAAACAAGGATATAAGAAATAAGCTGCCAGCAACAAAATCAGCTCTGCCCAAGAACTTTCTGGGTACCCCCCAGGCAGTAACTAGAAACTATCTTATCAAAAAGTAAGTAATCACTTTATTTCTTAGCACCAAATAATAATGCCCTGGGTACTGAAAGTACTTGGAGAAAGGAAATACTAGACTTAAAAGTGTTTCCCACATAACAAAAGCTTACCCCCTGAAGTGTTGAGAAATATTTTAACCATTTTTTTTCCCCCATAGAGAAGTGTCTCAGATACATTCCACACTACTCAGGGCTATAAAACAGACTTTATGTGATAAAATGAGACCCGTCCTGACAGCAAGGTAAATATGGACACAGCAATAACTAAAGTAGGAAAATTACTCGCATCTCTGAAATTGGATAAGCAAAATTTTTGTGCACATAAGCACATGCGTTTTCCTGGGGAAAGGGCCCGATCTAAATCTTCACAGGGACCCGAGAAAGGGTCTGCAACTGACTGAACCCAAGAAGAGAAGTAGCCTCTGCTTCCAGACTGACCAGCCCCGTGCTGTGACGTCCCAGGCAGTAACTTCTCTTCTTTGCTTCTCATGGTCTTTCTGTCTTCAGCTGTCACCTCTCACCCACGACACTCTTACACCGTTTTGGGGGGGTTTCTATCTTTCTTCTCTGCCTGCTTTTCTTCCTCTCTTCTCGCTCACATGTCTGCCACTGTTCCTTCACTTCTGGTGTGAGGACAAGTAGTCCTTATTTTTTTTTTTCCTGTAAAGATTTTATTTATTTGAGAGAAAGAGAGTGAGCAAGAGAGAAAGCACTAGCAGGGGCAGAGGGAGAGGGAGAAGCAGACTCTCCTGCAGAGCAGGGAGCCCCATGTGGGGCTCGATCCCAGGACCTTGAGATCATGACCTGAGCTGAAGGCAGATGTTGAACCAACTGAGCCAGCCAGGTGCCCCCAGGGACTCCTTATCTTTAAAACAATGATGGGAACTTCTTGGGATCGGCAGACCAGTCCTATGTCTTCTAGATTGCAGTATTATGGCTGGTTTCATTTCTGCTTAGCACCTGCGCTCTTTTCAGTTACCTTTGGGTTTGTGGGCGTTCTGCAAGGCTGAAGATGCTAGATGTCTGACTGCTGGGGACCTTATTGGAGCAAGCTTCCTGTGGGCTTTAAGGAGCTGAACATGGGTGTTAGCAATGAACACATGCGCGTGCACACACACATGCACACACACACCTCCATCAACCCCCAATCAACAGACCACTTTGAGAAAGCTGAGGCACTTTGTCTCTTTCCCAGCTGGTGTTAATATCTGAAATATGTGCACCCCCAGTCTGAGCTGGGATTTGCAAGAAATATTTAGAGCTTGCTCAGCACGGCATTCTCGACCATGTTCTATAAATGGCACGCTGGTAAATGAGCCGTGAGGGAAGAATAAAGAAAATGTTACTGCTTCTCCTTTGCTGGTAGATTACGGCGACGTGCACAAGGAAAAGCAGGGAGATGAGCAAAGCAGGCGAAGCGGGCTGCTGGAGGCCAGGCAGGCCCGGGTGCCACGCACCCACGAAGGAGAGCCGTGGCGACTGCTGAGGCCACAAGAACCAAGCCTGAAAGCTGCTTTATGCTGCCACAAAAGACAAGGCACGGCTCTCAAGATGCCTACGCGTGCCACCTTCCTCTCGCACCTGCCACGGACGCTGGTTTATGGATTTCGGGGCGCCGGGGGGGGGGCAGGGGGCAGCTTTTTACACAACTAAAAATGGCGGTGCCATGAGGAGAGACATATTCCCAGGAAGTGCCGGAAGTGGCAGACCCCAGATGAGGTGAAAGTAACTGAATTGTAAAATATATAAACATTAGGCTGGCACAGAAATGTCAGCTCTCCAGAAGCGGAAACAGAGATGAAAACATTCAAACCATAGACAAACTGGCCATATCTATACACCCGAAGGGCAAGTACTAAGATTAGCAAGAGAGAGAAGCCATGACCCCCCCCCCCCAGTTCTCCTGTCCCCACGCCACCACCGTGGGGGCGTGTGGGGGTCTCCACACCTCTGGCCCGGGAGGGCGATGCCTGTCCCATTCCTTACCTCGTGGCGGTCACCGGCTGGGCTGTGTGAGGGCCGAGCTTCTTCCTCTGGGGGCTCAATCTCGGCAAACTCTTCCACGGATTCTTGAAACTCAGGCAAGGACCTTCGTCCATAACGCTTGCCACCTTTAACATATTTGGGCTGAGCTTCTAGTGAGCAGTCTAGGCAAGGAGACAAGAGTTGAGGCCACATTACATGACAGACTCAGCCCTTTAGCTGACACTCACAGCTGTCAGACGCAGCCTCTTATACCAGCCCCAGAATAAACCACCACTGTTGGCCAGTTGTGCTGGACGTGGGTGGATCTGAGCCGCCAGGTCAGGCGCAGAGCACAGCTTCTCATTCGGAATGACTGACAGCACCCCGAGCACATCCCTGCATCCCACGCGAGAGATGCGATGGCGGCAAGACGAGAACAGAACTAAGATCAGGTTAAAGCCAGCTGTCCTATTTGGTCTTCTGTTTATGAAGCTGGTGTCTTGCAGAGAAGGGAGAAGGGAGAGGGGGAGATCGTCCTGACAGGGAGACATGCTGGAGGAAGTCTTGGAGAATAATGCTAAACCGAACACCACGCCCGCACCGTTAGCATTCACACAGCCCTCCTGTACCTCAGCGACTCCTTTGTGAACCATCCCACCTTCTGCTCCGTCAGACAAGCAGGGTGACAGAACAAAGAAACTGACACAGTGGATCCTAATAAATGAAGGACAGCTCATCGCTTACATGAAACCTGGCATCAAGACCTCATTATAAAATTAAAAGCTGGGGAATAAAACAGTAAATGCAAAACTGCATAAAGGAAAACGGTACGTTATGTGTTTTTTTTTCCTCTTCATGAGCTTCGGTGTTGCACAAAGTAAAAAGGAACGTGCGTAAGGCGAGAGTCGTTTCTTGACCTTAAAGAAGGACCTCAGCATTCTGGTGTAACACGTCTCAGGTACAAGGGCCACCGCCTCCGCCACCGCACACTAACCTTTCTCTACAATGGGTAGCTTGAAAGCAATAGAATAAATACTTCACTCCATACCAACGTCATCTTAGACACAGACAGGTTTTTTAGCACCTTGCACAGAATTAGGAGAGTAAGATATTCTATTAAAATACAAAAGATTGGCAATGCTTTGATTTCGGTTCTTATCATCCACAAAAGCACAGCGTCCCTAGAGAACATAATGCTTGTTCTGTTTGAACGTGACAGTCTTCACAAGATGTGTCTGAACTCAGACATGGAGATTTTCAGATGAGGTGTGGACACCCATCATCAAAACGAGGGTGGCTGATTAGAGAAGAACTGGCAGAGTGAAACCCTTCCTCCACCACCACGGAAACCACGTTCGGGGTTAGCCATCATGCTGTCGTTTCCCTGGGAGGACGGGGGATGCCGTCTGACTAACGCCGCCCTTCCCTGCGCCCCCGCCGCCCTTCCTCCCGTATAAGCTCAGATTTCACAGATGTGGTCAGAAGCATCCTGAAAATGCTCAGCAAAGCTCGGAGTGAAGTATTTATGCCTGCTCTATAATTTCTAGCGATATTTATATCCAGCTTCTTAAAAGTCCCAGCCAAGTCATCTTATTCGGTTGAGCGACTCTCTTACAGGGAGGCTTTAAGCATTCACAATTTATATTGAAAATCACATGCATGTTTGAAGGTACCTTTCATCAGGAGAGAGTGGGTCAGCCTGTGAGTATTCAGGAGCGGCCCAGACACTCGAGCTATGTTTGGCAGCTGAGACCCCCAGATGCTGGTCAGGTAAGAGGCAATGCAGAACCATCCTTAATTTATTACACATTCTTATATCTTACTGGCAGACAACAAGATATAACATTCATGACAATGGGGGCGGGGTCGGAAAAGCTGAAAAGAAAAACTTAGGATGTCAGAAAAGGAACATGACATTTCCCCGGTGTGAGATCGGTCGTGGTCTGGGGATGGGAGTGACAAAGTTGCTCTCACCGCGTCCTGCGCTTTTACAGAGGAAAAGACTGGTGGGACAGAGCGACCCGCTTAAAACGACTCCTGGGAGTTACTCCAGAACCCACCTGTGGGGAAAATGACTCCTCAGTTATTTACCACTAAATGCCTCATGCCAAGCAGGGAGCAGTGCTGGATTTGGATAAGGGACGGAAGGTAACAGATTGTGAGCCATTAGGGACCTTGCGAGGTTTGGGTTTATTTTACTTATTTTTGCATTGCCAACAATTGTTTTAAATATTTATTTCATATTTTATAAGTAATTTTGAGCAAACTTTAAGTTAGCATCTTTAATAGAATGTAACTACATCACAAAGTCAATTTCTAGAGAAATCTGTTATACTGTGTACTCTTTTGGGGGGATAAGATATTAGCACACACAAAGGAAGAATGGGGTATTAATGTGACCTCATAATGAATTTCCCAAAGCGTCTCTGTGACCACTAAAGAATTAGACTAATCGAACCAATTATCAACAGTCACTTCTTTGACTACATACTCACATCTCTCTCTATTTAGAGCATGAGCATCACTGTGCTTACATGATAAGAAGCGAAGGACGTCCAGAGAGAACATTCGTGGTCAACAGTCATCAATGTGTTAAACATTTGAAAACTATGATTTTCTTTACCAATCGCAACCAGGCCTTTAAAAGGCCACAGCAGCAGCCCACCAAATAAATTTTAAGACACTCTTGTACCCCTAAATTAAAGAATGCTCTACCCCATCCTTACCACGTCCAACAGAGACTCACAAAACTGCAGCCCAGGGGCAAAGTTTATGTCCTTTATGAGTGTATCCAGATGTAACTTACACATTTCAGGGTTTCATCATGGAATGGTTTTACCTATGCCAGATAATATGGTGTTGCCTGATTCAGAAATGAAATTGTTTATGTCCTATAGCCTAAGCCTAAGCGACTGCTCCAGTCAAGTGCTCCAAGAAGGGATATGACATGCCAGTGACACGATATATAAGGGACTGCCAAACTTTCAGTGTTTTATTTCCTTGAAAATTTATTTACGCCTCTACTTGGATTGCCAAGCTTCGGAGTCATTTTCGCTTCTTTCAATTTTTTATTTCTCCTATCTGACAAAAATAAAAATGGGCTTTGAAGGAAAGAAGACAAGCCCAGACTGCCTAGAGGAGTCTTGAACCCCATCCTTGGAGAATTTATCGTGAAATGCACCAATCCTAATAAAGTGGTGTTGAAGCAGTCCTATGTGACTTAGTCTAGATGATCTGGGTGTTATTCCATACACCAAACACTTGGTTATGAGTAGGGGACAACAGAAATATCTTGATTCACTCCCCTAAAGAATGCTAGAGAAATACAGAAACAACTAATAGTCTCTACAGAGCAGCTGCAGAGGTGGGGGGAATCTAAACGGGGAGTTCAAAAGACCAAAGAAATACTATTTCTCCCAGTCTTAGAAATGAAACAAAATCTGGATGCTCAGACACCACATTCTTCACTCCATATCCCATCTGTCCCAAGGAGAGAAACTCCAGACCTGTAATAATGTCCACCTTCCAGAATCAGGATGAACCACCATGCATATGCATGTCTTGTGACCAGAGTCTTGCACTTATAATAAAAGTAAAACTGAAATGCAGAGTCAGTGAGAATGACCACTCAGGGGATAAGCCAGCTGCAGGCAGGCAAAACCACAGACACTCATCCACTCATCCCACTCTCGACTCGCTCCCTGCCTCAACTCTCGCTGAACAGTACAGAGCACATAGTCCGTGGATATTTTATCACTTTTTGATTTAAACCTCCCTATGCCCAAAACTGACCTGAGGCTATTTCCAGGATGAAGAACAAAGCTCTGTCTTTTTGGTGCTGATATTCTTATTCTGAAACTGCTTGTATGGACCCTTGCTTTCTCCTTCCCTTCCTGACCCATTCAGTTAGCCCGGACAATTGTTCCCAGGGACACCAGCCCCTTCCAAAGCCAAAGGCCCTCAGCACAGGGTAACTCCGGTCTGAGGCCCTCCGTATTACATTTCTGCTGAGCACATGGGATTCCTGAAACTCTTTTAAAAATAAGGAGTCAAAAATGAAGCACATTGCAAACCTCGGGACAAGCAGCCGCAAGAAGCTTCCCTGGGAAAGGGCAGTCAGGCAGCAAATGAACACCCTCCAGCCCCGTGGCGCATCCCCACCTCCCCACCTCCTATAACACCATTACACGGGCATGACACAGAGTGCAACCTCATACCTGATACTAAGTAAGAGAAAAGGGAAGAGAAAGAATTAAAGGAAGACCGAGAGAGAGAGAGAGAGAGAGAGAGAGAGAGGTGGGGGAGGGGGGAGAAAGAGGGAGACAGACATGGACCGACACAGGTGGGGAGAGAGGGGGTGGGAAGGAGAAGATGGGCAGGGACCTAGAGGCTTATGGAGGGTGGGGAGCAAGAGGAACAGATGGGGGAGGGGACCAGAAGTGGGGGCAAAGTGTAGTGGGGGGTCCAAGGAAGAGGGCAGAGGTGAGCTGGAGCGGTAGAAAGAAGAAAGGGGTGAGGAGGGGGATGTCCCAAGGAGGGCAGGGGAGAAGAGGGTCCAAGAGAGAATGAACAACATGAAGACATCAGGGAAGCCTTCGGACGTTCCTTCCGCCTCCCCGTGTGCCCTGTGCCTCCGTGGGAGGTCATCAGCCAGCAGGGTCCTCACCCCACACCTCTGTGCACACACGGCCCTTGCTGGTGCAGCTGCGCCCTGGCCACTAGCACCCCGCTCCGCAGCTACCCCTCTGTCCTGGAATCCACACACAAGACATGGGGGCTCATCCGGGGCTTTCAGTGAATGCGGTGGTAGAATTTCAGGAGTGGTCACCATAGCCAGTTCTCACCAATCTGAGTTGATGGTTCTTGCTGGAGCACACAGGTGCTTCGGGGCACAAAGCTAATGGGGTGGCTCTGACTAACCTTGCCTGGGAGGAAAGTTCGGAGGGGAAGGTTTGCCCCCCACCAGGGTGCCTGGGATGGTGGATGGGTGTGGCCAGCCCAGGACCTAGTGGTCTGACTAGCTGGCCTGTGGAGCCCTAAAGCCGTTGAAGATCCACAGAAAAACGCTTTGAGTTGTTAACGATGATAGGACTGTTTCCCCAGCCTCCTCCTAGGGGTGTCAGCCTGCTGATCCCTGTTGGAAGGCCATGCATCCTGAGCCATTTTGGGGGAAGAAGGCAGA